TTGTGGGAAAATTCTACTACCAGTCCTTCATCACCTTACACGAAATAGGGTGAATACATCTCATTAGTTGGCTAATGCCTACCTGACCAAGTTGAAGGAAAATATCAAAACGCCACATCGGCAGCCAAAATTAATCATGCGATATTCGGACTAAGTTGACTCTGAGCGCATGACGAAAAACCTAGAAGTAATTCATCTTCTTAAACCATACCAGTGAAATGTTGAATTTGAGATATAGGCGGGAAACGAACAATTACTATTCTTGGATGCAGCCATTCGCTCACACAAAGGTCGTTTATAAAGAAATCTGACGCAAAAACAATCTCAGATTTCTAGTCTCATCCTAAGCATAGATTGAAGATTGGAATACATAGGAATATGATAATAGGAGTTCTAAGACTGATATGGTTTTATGGCTGTGCAGTCAAACAGGCTAAAATGCTTAGTAGTAACTCAACTACTATTAGTGCATTCTAGCAAGTTAGATACCTGGAAGCACGAATTCACTGATTGGGAGCTAGTGTTTGATGACATTGGCGCAGTGCTCAAAATTGGTCGAAAAAGGCTTTAGCATGAGCTTCGGATGACTATCGGAAGTAGGTGTCCCTTGGGCATCTGTGGGGGGGGAAGACTTGGAGAAGGCAACAAGTTGGCTGAAATTTCTCTCTCAGAAAATTGCTTAGTTCAAGCATGACCGCAATGAGAGGAATTTAAGTCCACTCGTTTCTAAGCCTGTCTAATGATTTAGATTGTACAGCAAATTTTTGCATGCTCTCGCATGTAAGCTCGATGCGTTTGCTTTATTACATACACGCATTAGAAGAGGAATGGTGCAGTCCACTCGTGTAAAAATATGAAAACTCAGAACACGTCTTATCACCTTATGTGGTGCACCCACTTTGCTCAGTAAGTTATCACTAAATCTCAATTACTGAATAGAGCAGAAGTATTGCATTCCGACTAGTGTCATTCTTGTAAGCTGGCTCCACAAGTTCAAAAGACTTAAGTCTTTCCACTTCCGTTATGCCACTAAAAAGTCAGTCTTGTACCAAGATTGGACTGAATCGTAACGTCAAAACATCGATTACCAGAGCAGAGACAAATAATAAAAATTTGCTTCAATATTAGATTATTCCGATTCATTGTGCGAATTTAACATATTCGTTTGCAGCAAATGTATTTGTCTACATTGAGATAAAAGTTAATATGTGCAGTCTAGTGAACTTTGATACAGTAAATACACTTAATAATTTTATTTTCCATCGATGGTGCAAGAAATACTCGGTTGGTTAATGAATTAGCTGAATTGTTTTTTTTAATTTGCTATTTTGACCAATAAAGACCTATTGGAAAAAAGACCTTTATAATGGATTTGCCCTCCAATTTGGCAAAAAAATGACTATTTTGTACAATGTGAACTGAGACAATTAAAACTTTGCTCGAGTTTCCGTACTCCATACAACGTAGGTTTGTGTTGATAGAAAAGAAATAATGAAGGACCATGAAAGGGTCAGGGGATGTCCAGAGCATTCTCCAGGGCTAGAGTTTAAAACCCTATGGCCTAATAACGGCTTGGACGAATAGGTGGGAAAATTGTCTGTAATACCCTAAAAGTTGCCAGGACCCCCTGCTTAACAAACTTGTTACATTTATAGTACAGCAAAATTCAGGTGAATAATATGGAGCATTATCAATAGTTTATTTTCTTCCGTTGAAGTGCTAATAAGTCGAAACTGCAGTCCAATCTTGATGAGAATAGATTTTTGGGAAGATACGCTAAGCGAAATTAACTGAAAACGTGAGGGCAACTCATATGATTGTGGGATAACCCAACTACTTATTTGACCAAGGGTGTACAGATTTCTCATTCAGGATATAATAGTAGCTTCTAAACCTATTTAATCGAAATATAACAAAATTAGACACTAGTTGAAAACAAATTAGTAAAGGCAAATGGAGGTGGCTACCAGATAAGATATAAACTTTATAGTTATGCACTAAGTGCACAAATACACTCGGGCCTGCTTAAGCGTAGGAATACGCACAAGATCGAGATGATACATAGCAGTGTCAATCAGAAATCCCCTCGAGATATGCATCCAATCGACAAGCTGAGGACAAGTCACAGCTTCCGTGTTGGAGAGAATAAAATTCCAAACTAGACTAAAAGTGATTTTCACACATAGAACTGACTTAAAATACAATACGGTAAAAACTAAAATTAACTGGCCAATTAAAATAACACTTCGAATACCTAGCTTGCAAGAAAATAAACCGAATAAAAGTGGATTATAGCAAAAAGAAGCAACATTTCCATATATAATATGTATAAACCTTATTATTTTGGTTGAATATAAAGGTAAAAATATGAACAAATAATCAACACGAGATGAGGAACTGTTTATGCGAAGAAAGTTGGGCTACTATGACTCTATTGGCTAATAATAGTTGAGCACACATTGGTGAAGGCATTAGAAGATCGATTCCGCCAGAAGAAAACATCAAATTTCTTTTGGCCAGTTGTCGATTAGCTTTACCGGAAAATTCTTGCTAACGATATCTCCCAGTCAATTTCCTTGTATATGACGAAGGAAAGTTTGATCTGTTTTAACCGGAATCAAAGGACATTGTCTCGGAAACAGCCTCAAAAAGGATGTTCCGGTAAGGCCAATCGGCAACCAGTCAAGAAGAATCCTCCTCGTCTTCTGGCGGAATCGACCTTAAAATCTTTTTAACACACTTTCACGTGAAATGGAAGTGGGCCCACCAGAAACTGCTTAAACTAATTGTACCGTGCGCAATATCAAATGTAATGCCTGCAAGAATCATCCAAGCCTTAGTTTTGACTGTGATCTGTGCTGTAGTACTGATTATGAGTGTATAAAGGATCATGATGGCCTGATGTAAATAAAGGAGAGGAGGACACTGGAAAGTCTGTCTGCAAAACGGCAGGCTGAGAGAGATCGGCAGATTCAGAGATCGAGTCTGAAAATGAGTGAAAATGTGATTCCTCAGGCAAATAGGGCGGTTGTAAGAAAGAAAATTTTGAAGTGGAATGGGCTTGTTGTTGCTGCTTTATTTTGGGCTGCTGTTGCTGGGAAACAACGGAAGCGACGCTTCCAAAATCTACTGTGGGATGTGAGCGCACTTCGTCATGGTCTGAACAGTGAAAGCGAGACTCATTTATTTGTTGAGGCGTGAAAGCGCCAGGGTAATGCGATGAAGTATTTGGTGCAGCTAGGCAGAAGTCAATTGCCTGAGAAGATGGCAAATTTGAAGAGTTAGAAGAAGAGGGGTTGTGCACTAGATAGCTCCTGGGTGAGGATGAAGAATCAAATGAAGCAAACGTTGGCTGGCTGAAATATCGCAAAGCAGGTGTCTCTTGGAGTGATAGACTCGTCTGCTGTCCTATCAAGTAGCCCACAGTGAAATTGGAACATTTTTGTTCATCTCCCAGGGCTGAAGAGGTCTGTGTATGTAATGAAGAAGGGCTTTCATGTGCTGCGGAATCTGTAACTAAATTTTCTTGGCCCGCTTGAGGCTGACTAGAGGCGAAGTTATCTTGTTTTTTAGAGGAAGGTCTCGATTGAAAATCAATCTGGTTATGAGGAGTCTGTATCATATGCTGCTGGTTGTGATGATGGTTATGGGGGTTTTGATGTCCGTTATGACCGTGGTGCTGGTAATGGTCGTCAAATATGCAGTGGCAAAACTGGCCATTACAATCACTCAAAGTGCTGTTGTCTGAGCAAATTGGGGCGTCGCAGGTCGTACCGTGCGACATCAAAGTAAGCTCTCTTTCAACTGGAAGGTCGGCAGACAGTATATGACTGTTGCATAATGCAGGAGTGCATGTAGAGCTAATTGAGCTAGAGATTATGCTGGATGGTGGGTCAGAAGGGACTGCATTTTTAGAAGGGACTGTGGAAGATGTTGTGGGAGAACCTATCGCGCTAGTGATTCCATCGTTGCAACAGCTCGATTGGATAGCGACGGTACTTTTGGCGCAGTTAGACTGCGAGGCTGGCATTAAAAAAGCAGATGGAGTCAATAATTCCGTTTGGCAGTGTATCTTCATGGGACTAATTTCTGTCAAGCCAGTAGTCCGACTTGAGGCGTCTGAGACAATAGAGTCATTGGGAGGTGCGATGAAAGGTTCCGAGACACCAGAAAGATGGTATATTACTTGCCTAGTCGGCCTCGATTCCTGACGAGTGGGCCATGAAAGAGCAGCAGAGTCACTGCTACCGCAATCAGCAGCAGCACTGCCACTCCCACAGTCAGACATAGAGGGTCCAGTTATAACTTCCGGTTCTATAGGAAAAAAACCTGCAGCCGAGCCATTAGCCTGGAACATAGCTGACATCTGGTAGTCTGTTAGCTTAGCAGAACAAGGATCAGAGATATAGGCTGTAGATCGGTTATCAAGTCTGATGAATCCAATTCCAGGAGCCACCTCGTCCCCATCAGCCTGACCGGATGAACTAACGCCAGCCGGCTCAGAAGAGAAAATTAAATTAGAATAAACGGAGCCAGAGATCGATCCGACAGAGGGTAAGTGATCTGGTGATGGAAACTGGGGTGAGGCGAGTTCTTTGTAACCTCCTGGAAAGGGTAAAAGACAGGTTTTCACGTCTGGAATATGGTTTAGTGGAGTCAAATCTTCCTGCACTTCTGTATCTGCATCCTGACATCTGATCTTAGCATCATCTTCATCCCCTTCGTCATAGTCCTCAATTTCTTCTTCTTCTTCCTCTTCTCCTTCCTCTTCTTCTTCTTCTTCTTCTGCCTCATCTTCCTCTATTCCATCCTCTCTATCCACAGCATCACCTTCTCCTTTACCCTTTCTCATATGCTGGAAGGGCCCAGAATCGATGGCGTGTGTGGTACATTCTTCGGAACAAGAAATATCTGGTGGTCTGTTTTCTTTAGAGATAATAGAGCAATCAGATGAATCTGAATGAGGAGTGTGAGACGAATTGGAAGGAAAAGACCTGTGGTTGGCACGAAGATGAGAAGATTGAGGGATAGAGCCCCATTTTACAGAACCCTCATCGTCCACATTAGCATTCGTTTCTCCAGCACCATTAACAGCTTCTTCAGATACCTCAGAATCAGACTTGATATCAATATCTGCATCTAGCTCAGTTGGGTTGGTATTTGACCACCCTGGTAATTGACCTAACGGTTCAGGAGATTTTGTCGACACAAGGTAAGCCATTAGTCCAGAATTCGATTCACCTAAAGAGTAAGATAATGGAGGACAGGTGGGCAATAATTCTGAGAACGATTCCATGTGTAAAGAATTACTAGCCTCGGCCTCCATTGGCCGCCAAAGTGCCAAGGGCGCTTGGAGTCCAGCGTCACAACTATAAGAAGCAGTCTCATCTAACAAGCTCAATTCTTCATGCTGAGCTGTTACAGATAAACACCTGGGTGATAATACTGTAATGCTTTTCGCCTCCGTGTCCGAATTCCCACTCTCAATAGCAATTTCCCTGCTGTCACTCTCAGTGTACTCCACAACATTATCAGGTGAACCAGGGATATGGTCGGTACTCGGAATACAAGGCTCAGATTGCTCAATATCAGCTGCTTCAAGCAAGTTCGGGGTATCAGAGCATAGTTGAGGGCTGTTCGAAGTGTGAACTAACTGAGACCCTTTAGACAAAGGGATTAAAACGACAGCATAAGGCCCAGGAAAGGCAATTGTCTCAAGATCCATATGTTCGCCATCTGGGTAACCTGTGTCCAACATGGCAATCGAGTCCATGCAAGCAGATTGCTCCAAGCCCTCGGCAAGTAGGTCGGCATCATTGTGTCCAGAGGACAATTCGACTAAACTGATAGAGGAGACAGCTGTTGATGCAGGAGACAAGTTGGGAGCATCCTGGATGATAGGCTGTATCAGTTTAGAAGAATCGGACCTTGGCGAATGAGATGGTGGATGGTGCGTAGCGGGATCTGAAGTAGGACGGGCCCGCGTCCTGGTAAGCACATACGAGCTCCGGGAATAAGAGTTCTTAGTTCGTGTGATCTTAAGAGTTGGCTAAAAAGGAAAGTACAACGAATCGAATAAGTTACACAAATGATAAAATTATGCAAATTCACTAAGGAAATCACGTTTGGAGCTATAGAGATACTAAAGGAAAAAACTAACAAACCGAATCTCTTTAATGAATTACCTCATAGCAACATTTCAAATCTCTTTTAGAGAAAATAATAAAAAACTCATTAGAAGATGTATGACCTTATTTTCGCAACTTAGTATTATGGCAGGAAGACTTAGAGGAACGCAGGTAGTCCAGGGTCCATTATATGTATGATAATTTCCAAAGTCGGATATTTGTTGGTTGGCATACAAAAAGGTGAGGGATAGGTCATAGAACTGGTATTAGGGATAAAAAAAGGATAGACGCAAAGAAGAGTTCTCATGTAGCCGCCCAAAAGAGCACACTGAACCACATTTAAATAAGCAAGTAAAAAATGTGATAGTGAAGGCTTGATAAGCGGATATAGAATTGGTTATTAGCCTAGGGCCTAAGGAGATATACCATGATTGTTTAGCAGACAATTGATCAAAGGATCGGCTTGACTTGTCTATTTGACGAGATGTAGCGTGGTGCTAAGAATGACAAGACTCACTAACGATGCCGGCGAAACGTCTGGGAATGTACCCCGTCCACGATCCTACTCTGGAAATTATCATGCATACAATGTACTCCGGACTAGGTGCGTTCCTCTAAGTCTTCCTACCAATATGACCAAGTTGCGAAAACAAGGTGTACAATCCATGTACACAAAGATCTCAGGTTAGAAGGCGGTAAGTGTCTTGCTGGAGATATTGGAGAGGGAATAGGATATCCAGGAGGAAAAATGGATACGGAAGGAATCGTTAACACGACTGATAAACCTAACAGTAAGGACCACATATTTTACATTTAACTGCAGTATGTAAAAGCAGATATTTGGACTAACGATGGGATCTCCACTCTCACCCCTTTCGGCAAATGTGTACATGGAAAAGTTGGAAAGGAAATTCGAGAAGTCACCACTGCAACCAAGAGTGCTTATGTGATACTTGGATGACCACTTTGCACCATGGTCACATAGAAGGAAAATTTTAATGGATTCCTTAATTTCATTACTTGATAAAAGAATTAAATTTAACTTGGAGGTGGAGGATAGTAAACCACTACCCTTTCTGGATATTGAAGTCATGCGCTCCAACGGGACACTCATGAGGAGACTATACAGAAAGCATTCCTATGTGGGAATAATCCTTAACTTTCAGTTTGACCATAACTAGAGAATGAAGATCGGAATACTAAGCAGATTGTAATCGAAAGCTTACGACTAACAGCAACACTGAGTTCTGGGACGAGTTGGACGAACTGACACGGATTTGCCTTAGTAACCGGTACCCCAGAAAATTTATATAAAAAATGTAGATGTTATAAAGGGCAGATTTTAACTCGGATTTTATGAAAATCAGATCAGGAATCAGTATGACAACCAAAGGTGAATTTGCCTGCCCTCATCAAAATTGAGCCATCAATTGAGACAGTAACTAAAGAAATGGAATATCAAGGTGATAACAAAGGAGAATAAAACACTTTTCACCAGTTTGCAGACGCAACACGATAAGACTGACAATCTAGATTGCTAGGGAGTTTACCGCATCAAATGCGGCAAATATGAGCAAAGTATATCTGTGAAAAAAGAAGAAAAATCAGCCTACGAATCAAGGGACGTCAAATACTCTGCAGGAACATGGATATGGAAAGATCCAAAATAGCGGAACACATTGCACGAAAGGGGACACGAAATCGACTTAAAATTGAAAGAAAGACTTGCTGCATATGGTGAAAATACGAGAAAACATAAGATCCGAGAGGCCATCGATATACTGGCCGAGATGAATCTAATGAACAAGAGACTAGAAGAAGGCAGGATCAGCGAAAACTTTGCATATTGCCTAAACAAACTTGGAGAAGATCAGGCAATAACAATGTCAGCAAAAAGGTAACATCTTTAATTTTTGGAAAAGAAATCGCAAGGGGACCCGAAAGGAATAATCAGAAGCCAAGAGACGTCTTCAGTAAGCCTAATCTAATCAAGTAGAACCACAACACTCGTGGGTTGGCACACAAGAAACTAGGAAATACGAAGTGATAGGCATGGTATTATGAATAGAAACAGGATAGACGCGGTGGAGACTAGAGCTAGTTGGCTGACAATAGGCCTGTTTTACGATAGACGTGGTCCATGAAGCAAAGGCTTGACCATATAAATTACTCTAGGCCAAGTTAGTCTAGCAGAATCCGAGTGGGTGAAATAACGGCTCGTGGAGCACAGATGGAATGGCGGGGGTCGACCAAAATACTTGAACCAGGGGGATAGCAGACGGATCCTACGGGGCAAGAGGGAGACTAATAAGACCTAGGGAAGAAGGACTGCGTAACAATATGGCAGGCTCTGATTCATATTCCCAGCACAAAGGTGAGAAAGTCAGTGTGGAGTATGGAGAGTTCTCATGAAAGCCGCTGAAAAGGGTTCACCATACAACATTTAAATAAGCAAGTAAAAATTGTGATATTGAAGGCGTGATACGAGGATATAGGATTGGTGATTAGCCCACGGCTTAAGGAGCGATACCACGATTGTTTAGCAGACAATTAATCAAATGATCGGCTTCACTTGTTATTTTGACGAGTTTTAGTTTGGTGCTAAGAATGGCAAGCCTCACTGACGATGCCGATTACTATGCAGGCAAAAAGTACAACATCCACGGTCCGATTCTGAAAATTATTATGCATACGATGAACTCCGGACTAGGTGCATTCGTCCAAATCTTCATACCAATATGACCAAGTTGCGAAAACAAGGTCAAACAACTTCTAGCAAATTACAAATAGTTCTTGAAGCGAATAAGGAAAGAGCGGTGGTGATGGACAGGAAACAGTACATGGAAGAAATGAAAAGTAACCTAAGCGAGGGGAACACTTATCAAATACTTATGATCCAACCATGAAGATATGCTAAAGGAAACGCATAACGTAGAAATCAGCAGATGGATGAAGAACTCTTTAATTTAAAATGATGCAAGATCACAGACAGCCTAGAGGCTATCAAAAATACATAAGGAAAACCTCTAAGATTAAGAGAGAATAACAAATATACGGCAACACACAGGCTAGCGAAATTCGTTTGCTTAAAGCTATGGAAAATAAATGACACGCCCGGATACCGTGAATTTTCTCAGATCGCAAACAGTCGGCTGGTTGAGAGGGAACTGTTGGTAAGTTTTGATGTAAAATCCATGTTTACAAATATTTCAGGTGAGAAGGCGGTAAGCGCCCTGCTAGAGATATTGGAACGAGAAGAGGATATCATGGAAGGGGAACGGATAGGGAAAAAATAGTTACACGACTAGTCAACCTGACAGTAAGGACAACCAATTTTAAATTTAACGGCAGTATATATAAGCAAATATCT